AGTGGGGGAGGAAAGGAAAGCAGCGGAAGCCGGGTGAGGGGGAGTGTGAGTCTCCTGGCGCAAAAAGGGGGCAAAGGGATCATGTGGGTTGCGTAGATCCGCCACTAATCTTACCTCAAAAGGTCCACGGTTTGTGTTAAAGCACGCTGTTTTTTCCCTTTCTTTGCTCGTAAAGGCTCTCGGCCTATCCTGCTTTGTCTCGGCCAACTGAACGGCCCGAAGCAAAACGAGAAAAAACGTCCTTGTGGCCCCCCCAAGGGCAAGGGGGAAAGGAAAGCCCCTCTTCCGGGAACGGATGAGCAGGGACTGCGCTAAGCAAACCCTCTGCACATTGCTCTCCTCTGTCTTCTGCATGTGCACTCCTAATTTTATCCAGTTCCTTTATACTCCCTCAGTTCCTAAACATAGGACTTTTTAGAGATTTCAATATGGATTATTACATACAGATCAAAATGAGTGAATTTTACACTATGTGAATATACATCTGTGTGTAGTCTGTATTAAAATCTCTAAAAAGTCTTACATTTAGAATTGGAGGGAGCGTGTTTTTTATATATAAATTTTTAAGTGGACATGCTGCTTAGGTTTTGAGATGGTTACTTTGATGGCGAGAAGCTTCCGACAGTGCCCGTACGTCTCTGTTAGGCTCGTCTCGCCACCTAACGTATAACATGACTTGACCATGTTTATTCGCGAATCAGGGTGGGCGTCAGCTTGATAGCATTGCTGACTGGACGGCATTGACCTTTCCCCTGGCACGTAAAACCGAGCATACCAGGAAAAAGAAGACATTTTTCACTTTGATTCAATAGCACGTGCTATAAAACCACCCAGAATGTTCCCGACTTGTAAAATACTTGCAAGGATGTGACATTTGGCACTGCAATTTTTCATTTAAAATAGTGATTATTAGTGTCTCGCACAGACTTCATTTTATTTTAGGAGAAATCTAACCACCAGCCGGCTGGTAGTTTGCAACAGGCGCGTATGATTCGTCAGTCGCACGATCCGCATCTAATGATCCACGTTCTACCTCGCGCACTGGATGGATCGCTAGCTACTTTTTCTTTTCTGTTGGCTGATTGCTATACCCGAGGAAGAAAAATAAAGCGGCCGATGGGGATCAAACCCAGAATGCACAGCCTCTGCACGCTCTGTTCGACCAACGAGCTACAACATGTTAGTGGTTCAAGTTGAAAAACATAAGAACTGAACCTTTTAAATCTCGTAGCATCAAAATAAAAGCTGTGTTAATTCTCGATTTTTTTTGCTGGGAGCTGGAGTCAAACTTCAGGCTCAAGAATTGTGACGAGGGACATGAACCACATGGACTAAGTTGCTTGTTGTGATAAATTGTTGCGTGGTGGTACTTGTGCCAATTCCTAAAGCTCGACTAATGTTGTTTGTCTTGATTTTATGCATGTTTCCAATTGAGTTAACTAGTTCGACAAAATGAAATCGTAATTTGCTGGGTCGGACGAGATTTTGCTCCAAATTTAGTGGTTCTTTCCATCTCCCGAGCATGGTAATGTATGCAGTGCTTAGCTGGTAACTTAATTAGCTAAAACATGGTAACTTTTTGAGCCTGCTATTTTTTTTTTGAAAAACACCTCCGGTAACTCATGTGTAAATAACTTGGTATATACGTATAGCAGACCTGATAACTTATTGAGCCTAGACGCGATAACTTTCTTGACCCGGGAAAAAAGTTCTTAAAAAGTATACATCCAGTAATTTATCGAATACCGTTGTAATTGTGACCCCAGATATTTATTTTGCTCTAAATATACTCTCAATAACTCAGTACATACGAACGCCATGTTAACTTTGGAAAGTATGGAGAAATAGTTGATGAAATATACCCCCCCTGTATGTTTTCTGTGAATAGCGGTAACTCACACATCACAGACCTGATAACTTA